CACTCACCACCTTCCGGAGACATTTGAAACCCCACCTCTTTAAGGAATACCTGGGATAGGATGAAGTAATCCTTCTACCGTTAAGGACTGGGGAGTTTTTCAGGATAAAAAATGAAACGGAATGGAGCTAAGCACAAGCAAAATCCTAGAGGAAAACCTGGTTCAGTCTGCTTTCCACCAGACGAATTCATCTTTCAGCAGGACAATAACCTAAAACACAAGGCCAAATCTACACTGGAGTTGCTTACCAAGAAGACAGTGAATGTTCCTGAGTGGCCGAGTTACAGTTTTGACTTAAATCTACTTGGAAATCTATGGCAAGACCTGAAAATGGTTCTCTAGTGTAAGGGTGGGTGTGAGGTGTGACCCAGGTGCGGTGCAGGATAGACAGTAGGCAGTAGGCAAGGATGGTGAAACAAGGATCTTTACTGGTGGTCCAAAAGCCAGGATACAAAACAATGGACTATTCACGAAAACAAATGAGGAGCACAAAGTTCTCCAAATAACAGGCTGACAGCAAACATGACGAAATACTAACTCTGACTGAAAAAACACAATGACACAGGGAGAACACTTCTCGAGTACCTGTAACTCCGTCACGTGATCTGACACTGATACGTACTGCTTGACATCAAGGAACTAGAAGAGAAAGCTGAGCAAGGGAACACATGGAAGTGAGGGCATAAATACAGTGAATCAGATAGACACAGGTGACACCAATAGGCAGATAATTAGTCCCGACTGTGAGTGAGGAGGTGCCTATGGTTGTCAGAGGATGACACCTAGTGGGTCGCTCCGGAACTGCGACCCACTCCTGTAATAGTGTGTGTGTGTGTGTGTGTGTGTGTGTGTGTCCCCCCCCGACGAACGGCCCAGCTGTTCACCTCACCGCGACGGAATGCTGTATCAGCCCTGGGTCCAGAATGTCCCTCCTGGGCACCCCGGACCGCTCCTCCAGCCCTTAACCCTCCCAGTCCACCAGAAATAGGAGACCCCTCCCCACCCGCCGGCAGTCCAGGATCCAGTCCACCGTAAAAGCCGGCTGCCCTCCGACGAGGCACAGCTAGGGAACAGGACGAGGAGGGGGAGCCAGGGGACAGGTGGCGATGGGCTAGAGGAGGGACACATGGAATGTGGGATGCACCCGCATGGTGGGGGGAAGTTGCAGGTGGTAGGTCACTGGGTTAACTCGCCGGACCCCTCTGAATGGCCCGACGGGACTGCCGCCTTCTCCTCTTGCTCGGGGAATAGGTGCGCTTGGGTATAGGCAGGGGTCGGAGCAGCCCTGCTGCGGGCTGACGTGAGCTCTTCGTGCGTGCGCACACCGGGAAAGCAACCTGAAGGCGCATGTATCCCCCTCAGCAGATGGCCACCAGAACCTCATACGCAGGAACTCCAATGTCCTGGCGCCCCCTGGATGGCTAGTGAGGTCAGACGCGTGTGCGCCAGCTGAAGCAGTCGTGAGCGCGCAGCCTTGTGTATGTACATCATCCCCGATGGGCCTCTGCCCGGATCGGGCTCCCGCCATAGCGCTGCTCTGACCAGCCTATCAATTCCCCACTAAACTGGGGCAGCCATCAGGGCGTTGGGGACAATGGGGTCGTCCCTCATGGCCAGCGTCTCCGGCCGGGACAAGGAAAGCAATCGCCCTCGTGTGGGCATGGAGCCCGGCAGGAGATCGATAGCGCAGTCATAAGGCCTGTGAGGAGGTAGGCCCTTGGCACGTCTCCTACTAAACACCTCCCCCAGATCACAATACTCCCGGGGAAAGCCTGCCAGGTCTGGGCCGGTGACGGAGTGCGGGACCTAGGAAAGAGGTGAGGACTGGTAGGTGGTCTGGGACAGTGGTTTGGGCTGATGAGTGGTCGGTGGCAACAGGAACAGGACGGGGGCGAAGCCCCTCGCCCCGTGGACCAGTCTATCCGGGGGTTGTGGGCGACCAGCTAGGGGTGCCCGAGGATGAGGGGACATTCCGGAGAGTCCACAATGAAAAACTGGATATACTCCCATAGCCCCCCTGCCACCCGGACACGCACGGGGACAGTGCGCCAGGTGATGCAGCCCGACCCCAACGGCCGGCCATCCAGGCCCATGACAGGAACCGGCTCGGAGAGAGAGAGTAACGGTACGCTCCACCTTTGGGCCAGCCCTGCGTCCATCAAGTTTCCCGCGGCCTCAGAGTCCACCAGTGCATGCGCCCGACGCACACTGCGGGCTCACTGAACCCTGACGGGGAGAAAGGTCCGGGAGTCTCTGAAGTTGGGGTTTCGGTTCCGGCTTGCTAGCACCCTTCCCGATCCTAGAGAGCCCTCCCGTTTCCCCGGCTTCTCTGGGCATGAGTCGCAGTGGTGACCTGCGTGGCCACAGTACCGGCAACTTCCCTGGGGTAGACACCTCTGCCTCTCCCACCTGGACAAGCCTGCCGCACCCAGCTGCATAGCCTCCTCCTGAGGCGTCTCCTCCCTGAATCGGCGGAAAGCCTCCGGGCTGAGCCTTGCGTCATGCCTCTCTCGTATGCCCTCTCACAAAGCCGATTGTCCACCTGCACCGAGAGGTCAATGAGGCCGTCCATTCGCTCAGGCAGCTCCCTGAAGGAGAGTTCAGGTTCCTGCGCGTACAGGACGACAAGGGCGGCCTCCTCCCATCCTGTCTCTCGAGCCCGGGTCCGGAACTCCACGGAGTAGTACGCCACCGAACGGTCACCCTGCCGACAAGCCGGGCTTTCCAGCATGATGGAGTACCTTGCCATAAGGCAAAAGTAATAACTAAGTGGCTTGGGGAACAAAACATCAACATTTTGGGTCCATGACCAGGAAACTCCCCAGACCTTTATCCCATTGAGAACTTGTGGTCAATCCTCTAGAGGCGGGTGGACAAACAAAAACCCACAAATTCTGACAAACTCCAAGCATTGATTATGCAAGAATGGGCTGCCATCAGTCAGGATGTGGCCCTGAAGTTAATTGACAGCATGCCAGGGCGGATTGCAGAGGTCTTGAAAAAGAAGGGTCAACACTGCAAATATTGACTCTTTGCATAAACTTAATGTAATTGTCAATAAAAGCCTTTGACAATTATGGAATGCTTGTAATTATACTTCAGTATACCATAGTAACATCTGACAAGAATATCTAAAAACACTGAAGCAGCAAACTTTGTGAAGACCAATACTTGTGTCATTCTCAAACTTTTGACCACGACTGTATATATTTATATTCCGGACTCTGACGTTGCTCTTTTTGATATTTCTTAATTTCTTATTTATTTGCATGGACTCTACAAGGTGTCGAAAACTCTTTTTCTCTGGCCTCGATTGATTTAGTAACACTAATTCTGGCTATCATAGAAGGGTAAAAATTCCAATAACTTTTGAACAGATTATTAAAGCGAGGTTTGGACTATTGGTTTTCTTAGAGGAGTGTCTACACAATAAACATATTATTTTACCCATTGGACAAAATATGCTTTTTTGATTGGACACCGTACATGGAGCGATGGAAACATTTTGCAGTTTTAACGCCCATTTCCCTCAATTTTACACATTTTCCATGTATTATGAAACCAGGATTCGAATCCTGACCGAATGAAAAATGTAATAATAATACTTTTTAAAACATTTAATCGGGACCCGCGGTCCATCTGGGTCTGGATCCGGCCCGCGGTCTGCCTAATGAGTGTGGCTGGTGTAGAGCTTGTTCTGTGACACAGGCTATCACAGCCTGACTGGGAAAACCAAGGCAACCTTGAATCCAACTAATTGAAACACTAGTGGCAATGGAACAATAACAGAACAAATTGTTCAGTGTTCCTCAGCAGTAGTGTCAATACCAATGAATGTTCAGTTCCTGACTTAGTCTGGACACCTAGATCATGACTGGTTATAGTAAATCTTCTTGTCAACAGTACGTACATAGAACAGGGACTTGAAATCTGAAAGCTATCAGGCTATAGCAGGCTTATTTTCATCTGAAATCGTTCATATTATACCCCACAATCATAAACAAACTTAACCCAACTGTAAAATCAACATGCTTGATTGGCATGTAGTAAGCCCTCGATACACCTTGTTTGTGAGGTACTGCCTTCCAGGAAATGTAATAATCTACTGCATTGATGGGAACAGATAACCAACCAAAGATGCACTATGCAGAATTCGCTCAGTCATTTCCTGGTTTCTAAAATTCTAATAGTTTGCCTAATTTCAGTGTATGTGACAGAATAAGCAAGATAATCATTGTACCATCTAAACTGAAGAACGGGAAGCATAGAAATAGTGCACATAGAACAGATCTACCGCTTCTTATACTTGCTTTCAAAAAGTTACATATTGCAGATGAAGTGTTTTCATTTGATGTTCATGATTTTTTATGTATCCACCATTTCACACTAAAACAAAAGTTACTGAAATTAATGCAATCTGTGAATAGGAGCATTACAGTTTGAGTACTTGAGTGATTATTTTTACAATATACTGACTCATGCAATGGGATGGAATGGCTTATCAATGGCTGATCAATGACTGCATGTTTTGTTCTATCTAAAAGATGACTTTGCTTGTCTGGAAAGTCTAATCAGTCAGGTTTTAATGTCATGTTCACAAGTACAGTGAAATGCAAGCTCTAAACCCAATAATGCAGTAATCAATATCAATGTAGTACTAAAAATAACATAAGGTAGAACAAAAACACACAAAAAAGATCAAAATTATTATAAAAAGGTCTGGTCTTGGAGTCCATAAATACTGCAGGAGTTCTTGATGCGGAACCCATACTTCGACAGTTACAACAGTGTCAGGCTGACAATGCATGGTGTTTTACCACAAGAACAATACCAACAGTATATTTATATTGAATGGTAGAGCGGCCAAACACACTTTATGAAGTCAGATATAAAGATCATTCCGTTTTACAATCTTGGAAGGCGGTGCAGTGAATTCCGTATCTTTTGTCCTTGGGTGATGATTAATTGAAGTTGTATTTATGGTTAACCGACACCAAGAGTGCTTTTGTCAGGACAAAGGGAGCACACAAGGAAGTCTTGCTAAACTGGAGGATGCTTTGCTAGTAGTTTTCAGCTTTGTTCAACCTCAACAAGTAAGGAAGACTTAACAATAGGAATATTGGACATTTGTTATTAGGTTTCTAGGATGTTTGTATAAGGATATTTCTTTCCATTTTGGTTGTCAAATAACTGCAATAATCTCAACAATTAATCTGTATTGATACTTGCATTCCTGAGGTGCATATCTAGTTGACTGAGAATGTATTTGTTATTGTTTTGTTCTCTTGGAAGACTGAGAAAAGGTTGGCCTCAATTTTTGTAAAAGTGTTTTATTTTGACATTCTTGATAAAAATAAAATAATAATTCAACTTTGTGAAAGTTAAATAATTCTGTAATTCACATACCATTCATTTTGATCGAATTGTAAATAGGAAAAATAGTGTGCATTGGAAATAAATGAAATGAAATATTAGCAACATTGCCTAACAATCAACCTGTAAGATCTAAGTGTCGCGCAGCGGGTGAAAGTGGTTAGATAGTAAAGGTGAGATAAGTGTTGGTCTCTGCCTGAGGGATCTCTTCTGGGGTCATTAACCATGACGACGGGCACAGGGGGCCCAGTGGCCTCGTTCTCTGTGTGGGACTATGTGGTGTTTGTGGGCACACTCCTGGGGGCGGTTGGCATCGGCCTATTCCAAGCCATCCGGGGCCGCAAGAACACCAGCAGCGGTGAGTTCCTGCTGGGGGGCCGTCAGATGACAGCGGTGCCCGTTGCCATGTCCCTCACTGCCAGCTTCATGTCTGGCATCACCGTGATCGGAACGCCAGCCGAAGCCTATCGGTTTGGGGCAGGCTACTGGATCTTTGCCATCTCCTATGCCATCATGTCCACCATCACCGCCGAGATCTTTGTCCCTCTTTTCTACCGCCTGGGCATCACCAGCACCTATGAGGTAAGGAGATATACCAGGCTTTGTCAGACCCACCTGGGTCAAATACATTGCACTTTTGTGACTATTCCACTGGGTCTATTGTACTGGTCAAACAGCGAGTGCAATCAAGGTGGATGGAGATAAAGTGAAGAGGAATAGGGGAACTTGGGTAAGAGGTTGGGTGTAGGAATTAAGATTAATCACCAGGGGAAAGGTGAAGATGAGAGGGTGTGCTCTAACATGTCTATCCGTTGTAATTTAACTAATGATTCATCACTGATCCATGAAAACAATCTAATCCAGGAGGTGTGTCTTCTTGTTACATCTGTTACATTCAGCATATTTGAGGACTTTACCTAGTAAAAATATGTGACTAATTGCCATAAGAGTCCATAAAAGTATTTCCTCTGCTTTGACAAAGAAACCATTGATGACTTGAAAATAATGTTGAGGCTTTAGACCTGCAAATAATAATAATAATAATAATACATTTAATTTGTGAAGCGCTTTTCTCAGACCAAAGGCGCAAATAAATAATAATACTAATAAAAACAATCCAAAATACAGAACATAGAACACAGACAACAATCAAAGCTATATACAGGTGTCGTCAGATCCAGAGGACACAAGAACAGAATTAGCTGAGGTCCTTGAAAGCTTTTCTGAACAGCACAGTCTTGAGCTGTGCCTTAAAGGAGGACAGAGACTCTGCAGCCCTATTAGTGTCTGAAAGCCCTGTCACCCAGAGTTATTAGTCTGCTGCGGGGCTGCTGAAGGCAGATGGACCTGGAGGAGCGAGGGGTGCGTGTGGGGCAGGAGGGTAGAATGAGGTCAGAGTGGTACTTGGGTCCAGAGTTGTGGATAGCTTGGTGGGTGTGAACAAGGATAGACAGATAGACAGACTACTGAGAAATCAAATAATATAATATAATAATAATATGCCATTTAGCAGACGCTTTTATCCAAAGCGACTTACAGTCATGTGTGCATACATTTTTTACGTATGGGTGGTCCCGGGGATCGAACCCAGTACCCTGGCGTTACAAGCGCCGTGCTCTACCAATTGAGCTACAGAGGACCACAAATCTATGCATCTTTCTTTATCATCACTTCCTGATTACCCAGATAACAGTTCTAGGGAGAGAGAACATTTTTGTAATGTTTCCCGTAATGTCCCCCTAATGTTTGAGTGTCCAGTTTTCCATTAGATAGGGGAACATTCTATCCATGTTAACAAAGACCTTCTGAGAACCATTTTAGCAGATTTTGGTGTCAGAGTTAGGAGGAACATTCCCTTAATTTGAAACAGAACAAACCCAGAACATGGTTACCATGTTCTCAGAATATACAATATTAATGTTCTGGACACATTTCATGGGCGTTGCAAGAAAATTAATGTGTTCAGTTTTCTGAGGGTTAGTGACCTAATGAGACACTTACGGGAATGTTCTCAAATATTTTGGGAATATTTACAAGTGTAAAAAGCCAATGAAATCAGGCCAGGTTTGACTAAAATGTTTATTTTCTCTGCAGTATCTGGAGATGCGCTTTAACAAGTTGATTCGGGTGATCGGGACATCCATGTACATCATACAAACGGTAAATATTCAGTTAACATCATGGGATGAAATGGTAGGCAGTGCTTCCCTAAGGATTTGGTGGAAACAATAATCTCCATAATACATTAACTACAAAAAATTGCCCTTCTCCTTTTTTCCATTGCCTGTTTTTCTGAAGCCATCTGGCCATCTCAGGTAAACATTCCACCTTTATGAATGTGCATCAAGCATGTTTACGTCAATCAACTAATTGCTGTGTTTCTTTCAGGTCCTGTACACTGGTATGGTCATCTATGCGCCAGCTCTCGCACTCAATCAAAGTAAGTCATATGCAAAGTATCTCTGTAATGTCCCTTATCCAAACCACAATAATATTATTATCTGTGCATTGACCGAGGGTCAATCTCTGGACAAGACTGATTATACATCTTTAGCTAATTAAATTGGTCTGTGATCTGATGATTAAGGTATTGTCTAATTGCTAATGAATTGATGCTATCAGCAGCTCGAAAGAGGATATGCAGATATTGTTAGGCTAAGTGATAATATCATGCATGATTCATATGTATCTAGTTTCATCTCAAGGAAACAGTTGAAGAGTATTATTTGGACAATTCATGTAAACGGGTCTGTACCTCTGGGTGTTTCAGTCACAGGGCTGAACCTCTGTGTGTTTCAGTCACAGGGATGAACCTCTGGGGAGTGCTGGTGGCCACTGGGGGGGTGTGCATCCTCTACTGTACCCTGGTCAGTGGCTCATCTCACACACTCCCAATCAGCAATCAACACCTTCCCGCTGTGACAATACACATGACCAAGGCCAGGAGTTTTTCTCGACCCAATGACTTGACCATGCAGGGAAAACTCTGTGCCCCAGTTATGGGCAATTACTAGGGTCCAGGAAACACAACAGAACATACATATGAACATACCTCTTTTGTGCACATGAGGTTACGGTTCCTTCCCCTGACTCCATGTTGTATTGTGGTTCTCAGGGAGGTCTGAAGGCGGTGATATGGACAGACGTGTTTCAGATGGTGATCATGTTAGCAGGCTTTGTGGCCGTCATCGCCAGGGGGGCTGTCATCCAGGGGGGCCTGGGGACGATCTGGGACGACTGCTACAAGGGAGGCAGGCTCAACGCGTTTGAGTAAGTATAATGTCCACAAACGTCATGCAGGGATTGAATAGCTACACTGATAAAAATGAATTACCAGCACAGTATGACTCCTCATAGTTTCCTGAGCGTTTTCACTTTAATACCTTCTAATGCAGTTTTGATCCAGACCCTTTGAAGCGTCACACGTTCTGGACGATCGTGGTTGGTGGCAGTGTAATGTGGGTGTCCATCTACTCCATCAACCAGTCCCAGGTGCAGCGTTACATCTCCTGCAAAACCCTAACCCAAGCCAAACTGTAAGTTGCACTCCTACCTTCCACAATGTAGAACAATCATAACATACTGGAAAAGCTGTGAATGAAGAATAGCAACATGAGTGTTTGTTCCATTTTGCTTTCTTTAAAACCCTCAGGTCACTGTATGGGAATATAATTGGTCTCTGGTTGACTGTGAGCTTAGCAGTGTTCTCCGGCCTCACCATGTACTCCATTTACAAAGATTGTGATCCATTCACTAACGGTGATGTAGGGGCAGTTGATCAGGTAAGTAAGTGTAAGACAGCTGTGGTTCTTATAGGCATGGACTGCATATACATTGCTGCACTAATATTAAGGAAGTCTCGAGGTTCTGCTCTCCTGAGTTAGAATACTTAATGATAAACTGTAGACCATACTATTTGCATAGAGAGTTTACATCTATAGACCGCACTCAACGAGCTGTATAAGGCCATAAGCCAACAAGAAAATGCTCATCCAGAGGCAGCGCTCCTAGTGGCTGGTGATTTTAATGCAGGAAAATTGAAATCCATTTTACCTAATGTCTACCAGCATGTCACCTGTGTGACTAAGGGGAAAAAAAGCTCTCCTTCACCCTCCATTTGGCAAATCTGACCATAACTATATCCTCCTGATTCCTGCTTACAAGCAAAGACTCAAACAGAAAGTACCAGTGACACGCTTAATTCGGAAGTGGTCAGATTAAGCGGATGCTAAGCTACAGAACTGTTTTGCTAGCACAGACTGGAATATGTTCTGGGTTTCATCCGATGGCATTGAGGAGTTTACCATATTAGTCACCGGCTTCATTAATAAGTGCATCAACAACGTCGTCCCCCACAGTACATATCCCAACCAGAAGCCATGGATTACAGGCAACATCCACACTGAGCTAAAGGCTAGAGCTGCCGCTTTCAAGGAGTAGGACACTAACCCGGACGCTTATAAGAAATCCTGCTACGCCCTCCGATGAACCATCAAACAGGCAAAGCGTCAATACAGGAATAAGATCGAATCCTACTACACCAGCTCTGATGCTCGTCGGATGTGGCAGGGCTTGCAAACTATCACGGATTATAAAGGGAAACATAGCCACGAGCTGCCCAGTGACACGAGGATACCAGACGAGCTAAATGCCTTCTATGCTCGATTCGAGGCAAACAACACTGAACCATGCTTGAGAGCACCAGCTGTTCTGGATGACTGCGTGATCACAATCTCTGTAGCCGATGTGAGTAAGATCTTTAAACAGATTAACATTCAAAAGACCGCAGGGCCAGACGGATTACCAGGACGCGTACTCGGAGCATGCGCTGACCAGCTGCAAAGTGTCTTTACTGACATTTTCAGCCTCTCCCTGACCCAGTCTGTAATATCTGCAGTACCAGTCAAAAGTTTGGACACACCTACTCATTCCAGGTTTTGTCTTTATTTTTATTATTTTCTACATTGTAGAATAGTAGTGAAGACATCAACATTATGTATTAACAAAAAAAGTGTTAAACAAATCAAAATATATTTTATATTTGAGATTCTTCAAATAGCCACCCTATGCCTTGATGAGAGCTTTGCACACTCTTGGCATTCTCTCAACAAGCTTCACCTGGAATGCTTTTCCAACAGTCTTAAAGGAGTTCCCAAATATGCTGAGCGCTTGTTGGCTGCTTTTCCTTCACTCTGCGGACCGACTCATACCAAACCATCTCAATTGGGTGGTCATCTGTGGAGGCCAGGTCATCTGATGCAGCACTCCATCACTCTCCTTCTTGTTAAAATAGCCCTTACACAGCCTGGAGGTGTGTTGGGTCATTGTCCTGTTGAAAAACAAAAGATAGCCCTACTAAGCCTAAACTTAATGGGATGGCATATCGCTACAGAATGCTGTGGTAGCCATGCTGGTTAAGTGTGCCTTGAATTCTAAATGAATCACAGACAGTGTCACCAGCAAAGCACCCCCACACTATAACACCTCCTCCTCCATGCTTTATGGTGGGAAATACACATGCGGAGATCATCCGTTCACCCACACCGCATCTCACAAAGACACGGCGGTTGGAACAAAAAATCTCCAATTTGGTCACCAGACCAAAGGACACATTTCCACCCGTCTAATGTCCATTGTTTCTTGACCCAAGCAAGTCTCTTCTTCTTATTGGTGTCCTTTAGTAGTGGTTTCTTTTCAGCAATTCGACCATGAAGGCCTGATTCACGCAGTCTCCTCTGAACAGTTGATATTGAGATGTGTCTGTTACTTGAACTCTGTGAAGCATTTATTTGGGCTGCAATTTCTGAGGCTGGTAACTCTAATGGACTTACAGTGGGGATAACAAGTATTTGATACACTGCCGATTTTGCAGGTTTTCCTACTTACAAAGCATGTAGAGGTCTGTAATTTTTATCATAGGTACACTTCAACTGTGAGAGACGGAATCTAAAACAAAAATCCAGAAAATCACATTGTATGATTTTTAAGTAACTAATTTACATTTTATTGCATGACATAAGTATTTGATACATCAGAAAAGCAGAAAATAATATTTGGTACAGAAACCTTTGTTTGCAATTACAGAGATCATACGTTTCTGTAGGTCTTGACCAGGTTTGCACACACTGCAGCAGGGATTTTGGCCCACTCCTCCATACAGACCTTCTCCAGATCCTTCAGGTTTCGGGGCTGTCGCTGTGCAATACGGACTTTCAGCTCCCTCCAAAGATTTTCTATTGGGTTCAGGTCTGGAGATTGGCTAGGCCACTCCAGGACCTTGAGATGCTTCTTACAGAGCCACTCCTTAGTTGCCCTGGCTGTGTGTTTCGGGTCATTGTCATGCTGGAAGACCCAGCCATGACCCATCTTCAATGCTCTTACTGAGGGAAGGAGGTTGTTGGCCAAGATCTCGCGATACATGGCCCCATCCATCCTCCCCTCAATACGGTGCAGTCGTCCTGTCCCCTTTGCAGAAAAGCATCCCCAAAGAATGATGTTTCCATCTCCATGCTTCACGGTTGGGATGGTGTTCTTGGGGTTGTACTCATCCTTCTTCTTCATCCAAACACGGTGAGTGGAGTTTAGACCAAAAAGCTCTATTTTTGTCTCATCAGACCACATGACCTTCTCCCATTCCTCCTCTGGATCATCCAGATGGTCATTGGCAAACTTCAGATGGGCCTGGACATGCTCTGGCTTGAGCAGGGGGACCTTGCGTGCGCTGCTGGATTTTAATCCATGATGGCGTAGTGTGTTACTAATGGTTTTCTTTGAGACTGTGGTCCCAGCTCTCTTCAGGTCATTGACCAGGTCCTGCCGTGTAGTTCTGGGCTGATCCCTCACCTTCCTCATGATCATTGATGCCCCACGAGGTGAGGTCTTGCATGGAGCCCCAGACCGAGGATGATTGAACGTCATCTTGAACTTCTTCCATTTTCTAAAAATTGCACCAACAGTTGTTGCCTTCTCACCAAGCTGCTTGCCTATTGTCCTGTAGCCCTTCCCAGCCTTGTGCAGGTCTACAATTTTATCCCTGATGTCCTTACACAGCTCTCTGGTCTTGGCCATTGTGGAGAGGTTGGAGTCTGTTTGATTGAGTGTGTGGACAGGTATCTTTTATACAGGTAACGAGTTCAAACAGGGGCAGTTAATACAGGTAATGAGTGGAGAACAGGAGGGCTTCTTAAAGAAAAACTAACAGGTCTGTGAGAGACAGTATTCTTACTGGTTGGTAGGTGATCAAATACTTATGTCATGCAATAAAATGCAAATGAATTGCTTAAAAATCATACAATGTGATTTTCTGGATTTTTGTTTTAGATTCCGTCTCTCACAGCTGAAGTGTACCTATGATAAAAATGACAGACCTCTACATGCTTTGTAAGTAGGAAAACCTGAAAAATCGGCAGTGTATCAAATACTTGTTCTCCCCACTGTATAGCCGTGTTATTTTCTACTCCATATTTATATAGCCGTGTTATTCACTGTGTCACAATTTTTTTATTATTCTTATCTACAACTCTGCGTTGTTGGAAAAGTACCCATAAGTAAGCATTTCATTGTTAGTCTACACCTGTTGTCTACAAAGCATGTGACAAATAAAATGTGATTTGATTTTAATTTGATTTGACTACGGCAGTGTTATCAAATGTTGAAACTGACTGGTGTGTGTTTGTGTGTGTGTCTGTGTAAACAAGCTGCTTCCATACCTGGTGATGGACATTCTGGCAGCCTATCCTGGAGTCCCTGGGTTGTTTGTGTCTGCAGCATACAGTGGTACACTAAGGTGAGTATACTCCAAGGGGAACCCAAATAGAGAATGTCTGGTTACACAAATGTTCTAGGTGGAAAAAGTCTGGATGGATATTTAAATGTATTGGCATAGTAAGAAAACCCCACCTCATGATCCCCTACCCCGTTCTGGGTCCGAACACATGCAGTATTCCACTACTAACCTATCAATTCATGTGTTTAACCATGAGTTCCCAGCAGACAAAGGACAATTCTTTCTATTCTCCTCATCTATTGTCATTGCGTCTGTTTCAGTACTGTGTCCTCCAGCATCAATGCGCTGGTGGCTGTCACTGTGGAGGACTTCATCAGGCCAGCGTGCAAAAACCTGACAGAGAAACAGGTGTCCTGGATCAACATGGGCCTCAGTGAGTTTCACACAAAACAATAACCGTCTGACAAAATGTCATGACTGCCACAGCCCTATGTAAGACTAACAAAATGATATGTGGGCTCATTCAAATAATAATGTGATACAAATATACAAGGTCAGTTTGACATTTTTAAAAATGTATGTACATTATATGTTATTACTTTACATGGAAATATATTCCTAATCATCATATGTTTATGGGATATTTAATTATCTTTGGACATATTCCAGGTGTTTTCTTCGGGGTTTTGTGCATTGGGATGGCTGCAATAGCTTCACTGATGGGGAGCATTTTGCAGGTAGGAAAACGATAATCAGAAGTGGCTCTGTAGCACCACCTGCTGTCTAGGAGTCATCCTCTCTACTTTATGTTTCCAACCGTTGTCTCTTTTCAGGCAGCACTCTCCATATTTGGAATGATCAGTGGACCTCTTCTTGGACTTTACCTACTAGGCATGTTCTGGCGCACAGCAAACTCAACAGTAGGTATTCCCAATCTTATTCATATCAATGTCATCATTCATACTCAAGACTGATTTACTCATTACTCAAAGAGAAATTAACATCTGTAAACACTATAAAAATCCTGACATACAAATCAAGATTTTGGTTGTTAAATACAACACAATGTTAAAGGTTAGACAATATAATAATTACATATACATGTGATGTATCTCTATAGGTAAGACTGTACTGAGACTGCTTCCTTGTGCCTTGCAGGGGGGACTCACAGGGCTGATTGTGGGCCTTGTTATTACCCTGTGGGTAGGGATTGGAGCGCAGATATACCCACCCTCAGCTGATAAGATCAACCCTCTGCCAATCAGTGTGGCAGGCTGTAACCGCACACAGGACCTGAACTACACCACCCTGGCCCCATGGACCAGCGCAGTAACACTGACCCCTCTGCCTGAGTGAGTTACTCACAGTCACTTTATAACCCCTGTCTCCAAAGTCACCCTATTCCCAATATAGTGTACTACTTTTGAGTAGAGTCCTATGGTCCTTATAGCTATGGGTTAGCAGCCTTGTTAAACCAGCCTGATCTTGCCAGCTCACATTCTGTTTCACTGAAAGGAATCTGATTTCACGAGGCTAATGTGTAAGGGGAGCTGAGCTAAGGTTGCTCAGGTATGACTCTTTCATCTTGTTGTTACAGTGACCGACCAGCTCTGGCAGACTCATGGTACTCTTTGTCCTACGTGTACTTCTGTCTTCTGGGCACTCTGGTGACTGTGATCGTGGGCCTGGTGGTAAGCGCTATCACAGGTGAGGATACCTCCTTTAGCTCTAACCCTAACAGCATAGTGCATGATATGATTATTACTGACTTCGTGACCTGAACAGGACAAACTCCTGGTCAGGTTTGTTTAGGAAATACTCCTGGCCCTGGGTATAATGACAGGCTGGTTCAAATTGATATTGTATGCATTTAGTTAAGCTAGACATCTTTCTGTGTTGTGTCTTTCCAGGTGGCTGCAAGCAGGAGAATCTACGCTCGGATCTCTTTGTAAGGAGAAGTGATCTATTCTGCGCTGGCTGTGGCAAGGACTCAGAGGTAAAGCATCTCCCCACCACCTCAACCCTCTCTCTTTCATTTTATTCTCTCTCTCATACTGTAGGCCCACATCTGTATGAAATGTTCTGTGTCTGTGTCTATCTGTGTGTGTGTTAACTGGCTCCTGGGTGGTCTTTGTGTGTCTTCCGCAGGCATCAGACCCTGAGATAAATGAAAAGGCTGGGTCAGAGCTGAAGAAAGGATCAAACAACGCTGGATTCAAAGACTCTCAACTTAACATTGTGGATAAGGATGTGGAGAAGGTCACTAAAATGTGATGCTGCCACCAAGCTAAATACACGCTGTCTACTGGAGTGCTCCAAGAGAACGATTTGTCCTCTCACATTTCCATTCTAGTTTTATTGTAATGAAATTAATTGCTAAGAAAAGGAAGCCCAAGTGTGTAATTATGCAGATGAAGTCTCTAATCAGCAAATGTGTGTGTGAGTGACATGTCTCTAAGAACAAAGGACAAGCATTTCTAACCCCATATTCAACAGGGTCAATACTGACCGTGGGTCCCGACAAAAAAAAATAGTATTTATTTTTACTCAGTTGGGCATTCAATTTACTGCTGTCGAGAGTTGTAATAGCAGAGAATGCACAAGGCAGCATTTCAAAATGTGTTAGTGCATGGGCAGTTTTCCTCTATTTATGTCACTCACTGACAGACCTTAAAGAGCTATTTAAACCTGTCAGAAATTTCCAGTTGATCAACTAGCTAGCCTATGGTAGCTAGGTAGGTATGTTAGGCTAACCAGCTATCTAAATCTTGTTGTTATCATCAGATTACTTGACCAGGGGCCTCAACACCCAAGGGGCCTCCATTGATATTGTTGAGTCACTAAAGTATCATATCAACACACATATGACATGGCAAAATGTCTATAATTGGAGGAAATTAGCTTTAAAACTGCAACAACAACAAAACTAAATCACCAACAAGGGGGGTGTGAACAGTTTGAACAGTTTGGGGTCGCATGGGTTGTGAGGTGGGGGTTTGTGACTTTTCAACACTGTGTTAAGATTATAAATCAAATAAGTTTAATTAAAAATACATGAATTAAAATATACATCTAACCTACTTGTCACTAAAAATAATGGATTTGTAATATGAGCATATGTAGTTGATAAAAGATTGTGCTGAAATGTATACCGAGTTTGCTTGCTGTGATTGTTCTTTTGGGATTCTTTCATTGTCAAGTTGTTTTCATAAACATGCTTGATTTAGGGCAATGAGCTAGACACAAATGCATGCTTATTTCTAAACAGGTTTGGAGTGCAACAGTTATACTGTATCTTGCATGCATCACATGAGGTGACCATATTCATTAACCACAAACAACTGTAGGCTACTAACATACTACTTCAATTCGTTTTTTCCTGGGGCAAATACCCAGGGTTGCATACAGTTGACATGCTGTAAACATACGTAGCCGATGTGAGCAAGACTTTTAAACAGGTCAACATTCACAAGGCCGCTGGGCCAGACGGATTATCAGGACGTGTACTCAGAGCACACGCGGACCAACTGGCAAGTATCTTCACTGACATTTTCAACCTCTCCCTGACTGAGTCTGTAATACCTACATGTTTCAAGCAGACCACCATAATCCCTGTGCCCAAGAAAGCTAAGGTAACCTGCCTAAATGACTACCGCTCCGTAGCACTCACGTCGGTAGCCATGAAGTGCTTTGAAAGGATGGTCATGACTCACATCAACACCATCATCCTGGAAACCCTAGACCCACTCCAATTCGCATACCGCCCCAACCGATCCACAGATGACACAATCTCAATCGCACTCCACACTGCCCTTTCCCACCTGGACAAAAGGAACACCTATGTGAGAATGCTGTTCATTGACTACAGCTCAGCATTCAACACCATAGTGCCTACAAAGCTCATCACTAAGATATGGACCCTGTGACTAAACACCTCCCTCTGCAACTGGATCCTGGACTTCCTGACGGGCCGCCCCCAGGTGTTAAGGGTAGGCAACAACACATCTGTCATGCTGATCCTCAATACTGGGGCCCCTCAGGGGTGCGTGCTTAGTCCCCTCTTGTACTCCCTGTTCACCACGACTGCATGGCCAAGCACGACTCCAACACCATCATTAAGTTTGCTGAGGACACAACAGTGGTAGGCCTGATCACCGACAACAATGAGACAGCCTATAGGGAAGAGGTCAGAGACCTGGCAGTGTGGTGCCAGGACAACAACCTTTCCCTCAATGTGAGCAAGACAAAGGAGCTGATCGTGGACGATTAACATCGACAGGGCTGTAGTGGAGCGGGTCGAGAGTTTCAAGTTCCTTGGTGTCCACATCACCAACAAACTATCATGGTCCAAACACACCAAGACAGTCGTGAAGAGGGCACGACAACACCTTTTCCCCCTCAGGAGACTTGGCATGGGTCCCAAGATCCTCAAAAAGTTATACAGCTGCACCATCGAGAGCATCCTGACCAGTTGCATCCCCGCCTGGTATGGCAACTGCGTACGGCCCAGTACATCAATGGGGCCAAGCTTCCTGTCATCCAGGACCTATATACTAGGCGGAGTCAGAGGAAGGCCCAAAAAACTGTCAAAGACTCCAGTCACCCAAGTCATAGACTGTTCTCTCTGCTACCGCACGGCAAGCGGTACCGGAGCGCCAAGTCTAGGTCCAAAAGGCTCCTTGACAGCTTCTACCCCCAAGCCATAAGACTGCTGAACAATTAATGAAATGGTCACCCGGACTATTTACATTGACCCCCCCCCTTGTTTTTACACTGCTGCTACTTGCTGTGTATTATCTATGCATAGTCACTTTTCCCCTACCTACATGTACACATGACCTCGACTAACCTGTACCCCAGCACATTGACTGTACCCCCAGTATATAGCTTCGTTATTGTTATTTTATTGTGTTACTTTTATTTAATTTTTTACTTTACTTTATTAAGTAAATATTTTCTTAACTCAATTTCTTGAACTGCATTGTTGGTTAAGGGCTTGTAAGTAAGCATTTCACAGTAAGGTCTACACCTGTTGTATTCGGCAGGTGACAAATAAACATTGATTTGATTTGATACCGGTTTGTGCAGCCTACCATACACAAACATCCAAAAAAGGTAGAGAAAACATTTTCTTCCTTTTTTACCTGTCCCACAACTGGTTTTAATAATAACTTAATAATAACTTATCTGCAAAAAGTTCTGATTTGCTGACTGTAAACCTACATGTAGAGTTTTTCTGACTAATGACCAGGTCTCCTTGCCAACCAGCAGACAATAAAGGAAGTGAACACAGAAGAGGACCGCCCACTTCACATTTCACTGAGCCATGAAAGCAAGCCTTCCTGGTTTCACTCTCATGTGTGCTGGCTGTGTAAGGTGAGCTAAAACTATTTTCTGAATGTTGACTGTGAAAATAAAATGGTAGGGTATACTGAAGGCCAAAAACACAATGGAAAAATAGCATGTTCATTAAATACGGAATGTACTTAATGTTTTCATTTGCCCTGTACTTACTTTCAGAAGACAGGTGCATTGGTATTGTTCCGGTTCCAACCAAATGTTATTGTCGTGGACGCATACTGTATTTTGCGGATGTTATATTATATATATACTGTATATATAATGGTGTGTATGGACAGTATATGAATAGGAAAGGTGTGTACAGCAGTAGTTATATAGGATGAGCCTTGACTAGAATACAGTATATACATATGAAGTGGGTAAAACAGTATGTAGACATTATTAAAGTGACCATTGTTCAATGACTATGTACATAGGGCAGCAGTCTCTAAGGTGCAGTGTAGGTGGTAGCCGGCTAGTAACAGTGACTAAGTTCAGGGCAGGGTACTGGGCGGAGGCCGGCTAGTGGTGACTATTTAACAGTCTGAGATAGAAGCTGTTTTTCAGTCTCTAGGTCCCAGCTTTGATGCACCTGTACTGTCTCCGTCTTCTAGATGGTAGGTTATTTTGATACTGTAGGCTCTCAAATTGACCGATTATGACGCTTATTCTTTAGTGGGCTTAAAGAGGTGCGATTTTTATGTCGTATCTGCCTACCTCGGTCAAAGACATATGTGCTGTAACATTTGCTAATACAAAGGCTATTATACACAACAGGCCTATCTGAATACAATGACAAAACATGGGTTGTGACCAATGTTTCCTCTAAACTGCGTGCGTGCGTGGGCGCGCAGTAGCAGAGGACTGTGGCCCTCTGTAGCTCAATTGGTAGAGCATGGCGCTTGTAACGTCAGGGTAGTAGGTTCGATCCCCGGGACCACCCATACGTAAAAATTTATGCACACATGACTGTAAGTCGCTTTGGATAAAAGCGTCTGCTAAATGGCATTGACACGCACGACTCATCCCGTACTCTACACAGACGGGTGCGGCATAATCAATCAGAGCTTCAGTAGGCCTATATGCAAATAGACCATTGCCATATATGGATCAATGCCATTTACTTTGATCTGGACAGTCTTTACAGCTGTGGTCGTGAGTAGATGTAACAAGTGGCCTCTTGCGATCAAAGCAAGAGCTGCATGTGGCCACGTCCCATCCGTTGCTAGTTAGTTATTAGCCCAGTTATAGATAATTTGTAGTCAGCAATAGGGGAGTGATTGCTTCCTACAAGAGCACAACTGTGTACATTTTTAGACATCTTTGAAAAGTGAGTCAGGTAAAGAGCTTTTTTATGTGTTAAAGGGGCAGTGTTGTATTTCGAGACAGGCTTGAATAAGCTAAGTAGCCAATAAGCAGAGGGTAGCAAAATTTGCCTGATTCTCTGTAATAATGGTATGGGAATAATCATGCATTTTATTTTGTAAAGTGGTTTCTTGCATCAAACAACACAACACCATTTTCAGTCACCTCCTGAAAGTGGATAAACAGGTTAGTGTCAAGCCCTGCATGTTTTTTTTTTCTTCAAAAGTCTTATGAAATGTAGGTCTACATTGAACACCACACATTGACTGCTACTGTAGGCTAAATTATAGAACAGCTATTTCCATGTTAAAATGTTATGGGATGCATTTTCTCCATTGTTTTTTATGTTAGGCCACTCTGGTAGGCCTACATTATGATCAATTAGCCACAGTAGCCTACTTGGCCACTGTTAAAACTGTAACTTAAAGTGGGTACAGCCTCAGTGTTCACAGTAAACGCGTGCTGGAAGTTGCACAGAATTTTCACAACTTCAAGTTTGCGCTCAGCAGACCTGAAATTTGCTCAATGCCTATTTTTATTCTGGGAACATTGGTTGTGACTCATATGTATGGTATCCTTTGGGACTGTGAAAAAATAGGACAAGTACAGGCTTGTGTTGTTTCAATATTAGAACACACAGGCTGAGGGACTTTAAGATATGGTTGGTCAACACTATACACAGCTGGGGGTTATTATTTGGATCCTTATAATACATGTTTTATTATGTTGTACACTATAGGACCAAAGAGAAAACATAATGGCCATGGATCACAGACTTTCTCTACCCCTGGCAAGTTTTCTTTTGGCCATTTCCTTGGCTACAACTACAACTCTGACAAGCTCTTCTGAGAGAGGAAATAATGCCACCACCACAAATATCAGTTTGGTTACTGCAATCACAGAGACAATGGCTCCAAACCAGACCTACCCCACTGCCATGTCAACTTCCTCAAACGTCACTGTCGACGGTGCTCTCTCTACTACAAGTTACCATAACTCAAGTCAGAACAGCACTGGAACAACAACTCACAACGCTGTACAGGACATCTCAACAACCACAACAGCACTGCCTGAGAGCTCAAACACAACCACAACCACAGAGTCAACACCATCAGCTTTGGCCCCTACAGATAAGGCTACATCTGCAGCCACTACAGACCCAGGCATAGTCCCCTCCACTGCACCAACCACCCAAGCAGCCAAGACCACTGAAAACCAAAACAGTACATCAAATACACCACCACAACAATCCACTACGAATCTTCCTCAAACCACCAATACCACGACGTTGATGGCAACAGCAACACATAATGTGACACAAGGTAACTGCTGCTGGTTGATATGTCTGTCTTTAAAGATTATGATTTATTATGCAACAAACATTTAAGTGAATTTCAATCGTCATTAATATCTTTCCTGGTTTATTCAACAGGTTTTGGACTAGACAATTCAGAAAAAGGCATGACCATTCTTTTCAGTGTTGTGCTTGGGGTGTTTGTTTTGGGGATATTTATGTACATGTTGAATAGATGGAACCAGATGAGGCAATACTCACATCGACCTCTCTATAACAACTCTGAGGCTGAAGGTAAGGGAATTCATATACCATGTTCTCATAAAATCTTTGTTCAATATCTCAAATTGCTATTTATTTTGTCATTCTCACTAAGATGTAGAAACATTGACAGTGCATGCAGGCCTACTGTACAGTGTACGGTCTCACATTTTATTCTTGTGTCATACATTAATAAATATATAATTTCAGCTGACACATTTGTGCTACTGTAGTGTATGTCACATTAGTTCTTACAACTCTACTCAATGCATTTTCAGTGGATGGATCCCTAGCAGCAGACGACACACTTGTCATTTCAGGAGGACTCTACGATGGTTCACAAATCTATAATCCAACTATGACAACTACTGATATGACGGAGGATGAGTTCAATTTTGATAATCATCTACGTGTGGCTCAGCCATCACAGTTCCGCCTGGAGATCTTAAATGATGAACAATAGAGCTCCCCAGGCTTTGAGGCCTCTACCTTTCATACTTTTCAGCCTATTGATTATGATTTTTAATGTCAAATCTAGCTTCTTTTTTTTTACTCCACTTTGTAAATTATGTCAAACCAATAGGCATTTTTTAACATCACTTTATCAATTGCATTTGTTATTTTCTATACTTTCCCCCCCTACCCTACCATCCCTACCCTAATTGGAGTAAACTAACGGACAACAATACTTCTACCGCTACTTACAGCTATTTCGCTCACATCTATGATACCTGTAGTTAAATAATTATACATATATTCCTAATTTCCTCTTTCTTCATGTGCTGGATTGTCACCCACAGCGGCCAATCCATCATTCATTCTGATCTTAACTCCAACCCTCCGATGTCTACAGATTAACCCATCTTTCCCAGTATAATGCTATTTTGCTATTTCATTTTACAATACATCCCTTCATTTTACTATGATGTCTTAGGAGGGTCCTGAACTTCCCTAATTGTAACATTTCTACCGATATTGCCCTAAAAATGTATACTTTACCTAAGAGTATAATGATATTTCCCATTGACTGATTGTGGTTTTTCAGATACCCTAACAATACAGGTTGCAGGTCCAGCAGAACACAGACATTAAGACTTAACAACCATTCCTGGACCTGACTCCAAAATCGAGCCACCAATGGACAGAACCAGAAAATATGATCTATTGATTCTGTTTCCTTGTGGCAGTCTGCACAAGGCTGACTGTTGAATGCCCAATATATTGAGCATTCTTTTTTTAGGAAGTATTTTATATAATAGCTTAAATTGAAAATAATGGATTGAAGTGTCACTTGTTGTTTTATATGTCAGTTCATAGACCCAATGCCAAGGTATTGAGACATCAAAAACCTGTTCCCAACTGACTTGAATTTAAATGGTATTGCTGTCAAACCTTTTGACTTGAAGTAAAACTGATACATTTTTGATTTATACAAATCATTTTAAGCCATTTATGATTTTTAATGGGTGGCAGACAGATTCATTCTTTAATTTCTTTAAGTAATTGTCTCCTCCAATTTTGTGGCAGAGCCGCAACGAGTTGCTTATAATTTTGTATTGAGCATACACCTCCATACACTGTTGTTAGTTGCTTGTGTGACATAAGGTTACCATTCTTGTTTACAATGTCCTTCATAAATATTATACCCTTGTACATTTCTTTCAATTTTTTGTATATTCTTTTCTGTATCAGTAAATTGGAGTTTAGCCATATTATTTTCTGTGATATTAGATCTGCCTTTTCTGGAGGATGAAATTGAAATTGTAGCAAACTCTGTAAAAAGGAGGATACTTTAAATGGATTGTATACTGAGTGTACAAAACATAAGGAACATCTGCTCTTTCCATGACATAGACTGACCTGGTGAATCCAGGGTAAAGTTATGATCCCTTATTAATGTCACCTGTTAAATCCACTTCAATCAGTGTAGATAAACAGGAGGACATAGGTTAAATAAGGATTGTTAAGCCTTGACACAAATGAGACATGGATTGTGTATGTGTGCCATTCAGAGGGTGAATGGGCAAGACAAAATATGAAAGTGCCTTTGAACGGGGTATGGTAGTAGATGCCAGGCGCACTGGTTTGAGTGTGTCAAGAACTGCAACGCTGCTGGGTTTTTCATGCTCAACAGTTTCCTGTGTGTAACAAGAATGGTCCACAACCCAAAGGACATCCTGCCAACTTGACACAACTGTGGGAAGCATTGGAGTAAACATGGGCCAGCATCCCTATGGAACGCTTTCGACACCTTGTAGAGTCCATGCCCCAACGAATTGAGGCTGTTCTGAGAGAAAAAGGGGGTGAAACTCAATATTAGGAAGGTGTTCCTAATGTTTTGTACACTCAGTGCATTCAAAAAGTATTCAGACCCCTTCACTTTTTCCACATTTTGTTACGTTACAGCCTTATTCTAAAATTGATTAAATACTTTTTTTCCCTCATCAATTTACACACAATACCCCATAATGACAAAGCAAAAACAGGTTTTTAGAAATGTTAGCAAATGTATTAAAAATAAAAAACAAATACCTTATCTACATAAGTATTCAGACCCTCTGCTATGAGACTCGAAATTGAGCTCAGGTGCATCCTGTTTCCATAGATCATCTTTGAGATGTTTCTACAACTTGATTGGAGTCCACCTGAGATAAATTCATTTGATTGGATATGATTTGGAAAGGCACACACCTGTCTATTTTAGGTCCCACAGTTGACAGTGCATGCCAGAGCAAAAACCAAGCCATGAGGTTGAAGGAATTGTCCGTAGAGCTCCGAAACAGGATTGTGTCGAGGCACAGATCTGGGGAAGGGTACCATAACATTTCTGCAGCATTGAAGGTCCCCAAGAACACAGTGGCCTCCATCATTCTTAAATGGAAGAGGTTTGGAACCACCAAAGCTCTTCCTAGAGCTGGCCATCCAGCCAAACTGAGCAATTGTGGGAGAAGGGCCTTGGTCAGGGAGGTCCAGAGTTCCTCTGTGGAGATGGGAGAACCTTCCAGAAGGACAACCATCTATGCAGCGCTCCACCAATCAGGCCATTCAGTGGCCAGACGGAAACCACTCCTCAGTAAAAGGGCTCCTGACAGCCCACTTGGAGTTTGCCAAAAGGCACCTAAAGGACTCTCAGACCATGAGAAACAAGATTCTCTGGTCGGATGAAACCAAGATTGAACTGAATGCCAAGCGTCACGTCTGGAGGAAACCAGGCACCACTCATCACCTGGCCAATAACATCCCTACGGTGAAGCATGGTGGTGGCAACATCATGCTGTGGGGATGTTTTTCAGCGGCAGGGACTGGGAGACTAGTCAGGATCAAGGGAAAGGTGAACAGAGCAAAATACAGAGAGATCCTTGATGAAAACCTGCTCCAGAGTGCTCAGGACCTCAGATTGGGGCGAAGGTTCACCTTCCAACAAGACAACGACCCTAAGCACACAGCCAAGACAATGCAGGAGTGGCTTCAGGACAAGTCTCTGAATGTCTTTGAGTGGTCCAGCCAGAGCCTGGACTTGAACCCGATTAAACATCTCTGGAGAGTCCTGAAAATAGCTGTGCAGCGACGCTCCCCATCCAACCTAACTTAGCTTGAGAGGATCTGAAGAGGAGAATGGGAGAAACTCCCCAAATACAGGTGTGCCAAGCTTGTAGCGTCATACCCAAGAAGACTCGAGGCTGTAATCGCTGCCAAAGGTGCTTCAACAATGTACTGAGTAAAGGGTCTGAATACTTATGTAAATGTGAAAATTTAACCCTCCCGTTGTCCTAGGGTCAAAATGACCCGCCACTGTGTTGAACCAACTTTATTTAATTTTTATATTTTTTGGATCATTTGTGAGAAGGAGGCAGTGATACTTTCTTTAAAGTCTCACTGCCTTCTTCTCACAAATGATCCCCAAAATAAAAAAATTAAATAAAGTTGGTTCAACACAGTGGCGAGGTCATTTTGACCCTAGGACAACGGGAGGGTTAAAAAAACTTGTTTTTGCTTTGTCATTATGCAGTATTGTTTGTAGATTGATGATGATTAAAAAAATCAATTTTAAACTAAGGCTTTAGCGTAACAAAATGTGGAAAAAGTCAAGGGGTCTGAATACTTTCCGAATGCACTTCTTGAAAGATTTAGCTGATTATAGACAAATCAGGGAGAATATGACCATCTGAGTAAATACAAATAAATGAATATGGCAAATTTGAGCATAATTTTTATTAGGTAGTAATATACATAATAAATAACAATACATAATACAGTGTTTTACATTTACGTCATTTAGCAGACGCTCTTATCCAGAGCGACTTACAGTTAGTGAGTGCATACATAATTTTTTTATTTTTCATACTGGCTCCCCGTGGGAATCGAGCCCACAACCCTGGCATTGCAAACGCCATGCTCTACCAACTGAGCTACATCCCTGCCGGCCATTCCCTCGACGACTTGTGCGTCGCCCTATGGGTCTCCCGGTCACGGCCGGCTACAACAGAGCCTGGATTCGAACCAGGATCTCTAGTGGCACAGCTAGCACTGCAATGCAGTGCCTTAGACCACTGCGCCACTCGGGAGATACGTAATATATAGGAACAAAAAAACAGCACAAGCAAAAACAATGTTACGAACAAATAAATTCAATTTCATGAACACAAACTTATTCATGTTGAATGGACTCAAAGGAGGCAAGTTTTGTCAAAACAACAAGCATTTGACATATTTTTACCATGAATAATGTGAGGAAAGTGGCTTAACAGTAACACGAAAAACAAGATAACATACTTGGTTAATTTGTCTGACATTTCTGTTTCGGCCAACAGCTTTCCCAGCATCAGGCAACTATAGACATGAATGAACTTGAGAGCAGTGGTGTTATGAACAGAGAATATTGAATCTTAACATTTGTCATACACACAGAAAACGGTCTATCTTGAAAAGCACAGCACTTGTTTCTTATGCAAATAACTTTTCAACTCCTTTTTTCATCATTTCAGCACCAGTAACAGCTGTCAAACCAGCATCCCGCATCATTTTCATTGCAGTGAGTTTTAACGCACTCTCAGGTGTATTCTGAACGGCAGGGCTCTGGATCTGAAACATTACAAATAATAAAAACAGGGAAAAAATATTCTATTCATATTGTGAAGCAGAAGCAAACCAGTGGAAGACAAATAGTGACCTGAACATTTTTGAACCCCACAGCATTAACCACTTTTATAATAATATAAATAATATGCCATTTAGCAGACGCTTTTATCCAAATCGACTTACAGTCATGTGCGCATACATTTTTACGTATGGGTGGTCCCGGGGATCGAACCCACTACCCTGGCGGTACGAACGCCATGCTCTACCAATTGAGTTACAGAGGACCACATAAGTTACAGACTATATTTTAGAAGTTGATCATGCAGAGGGAGTATTACCCAGTAAGTAAAGTATTTGGTGGTAATGTAAGTTCAGTTGGCTCATTCTACCTTCCTGAATATGTCCACTTTTTGATGCTTTGCTGCTGGTACATATGGTTGCAGGCTACTCTTGAATGGATCAGTTGCAACTACAAAGCTCTGACATTATAAGAACCACAAAGACACCCGCGTTAGAAGTTGTGATATTTATAGCAAAATGATTTCCACAATGGAAATGTGCATGTGCATACCATACAGCATGCATTACAAAGTTATGAGTTTAATTTATGAGTTTAACTTAC